ATTATTCGTTTATTTATTATTGGTATTTTGGCCTTACCTTTAGTGTATTTGCAATCTATGATATGTTCTCTTTGACTTACTACATAATATTCTTCTTTTTGTCGTTTAAACCAGTTTCTTATTGTTGGTATTTCGAATATTTTTGCTATGCTTAGGTCTAGTTCTTTTCCTTTTATTTGTTCAAATATATTATTATCAAATATTATTTTTTGTTCTGAAGATTCTTCGTCTTGGTGTTTTTCTTTATTTATTATTTGTATATCTGTTTCAGTCATTTGTTATATTATAAAATTCATTATCTGATTCTATTTCTATATCGTTATTTATTTCATTTTCTGATATTTCATATATGCTATCTTCACTTTCTAATTCATAATCTATGAATTCTATCTGTGTATATTTTTCATCGTCTATTATTATTTCTGATATTTGTTTTTTCTTTGGATTTTTAGGTAATTTGCAATCTCTAGCTATATGTCCTAATTTTCCACAATTATAATAAGTACATTCCGTTAGTTTTTCTTTTTGGTCTATATGGTCTTTTGGTTTTGTAGTTTTTTACATAATATCTTCTTCTTGGTTTTTTATATTTATATTTTGATCTGTATTTTTTATTATATTTCTTTCTATTTTTATAATACCTATCCGTACAACCAAATTGAGGTGCTGTTTTATTTTTGCAACATGCCAAGTTTTTTACTAATATTTTTTCCATTTTTATTTCTTCTTTATGTTTTTCACATAGTTCCATAAACCATCGTTGCAAGAATTTTATTCTAGCTCCTAAGGTGTCTGTTAATTCTGCTTCATTCCAACTTTTTATTTTTTTTGAATTAAAAGGTTCTGGTAATTTTGTAAAATATAATTTTCTTATTTCTTTACTTTCTTCTATGTTATATGTTCCTTTATAATAATATTCTCTAAATGCACATGTATATTCATCTATATAACACATATTACATATTGCTAATTTTGTCATTAGATTTCGGTTTATGATTTTTTCTTTATTTTGTTCTTCTACTTCTGTTGTCATACTACTAAATTCATTTCTTATAGCTATTTCATATTTATATATTATTTCCATAGATGTAGTAGCTATTTCTCCATCGAATTTTTTATTACTTCTTAAAGTTGTTAAGCTTTCACTTGTTAAATTTTGTAGCCATAATTTTACTGTTTTTATAAGTGTTTTTTCTATATATCCTGGTGTCTCTGTCATTACTATTTTGTTATCTATTAATTGTTTTGATATATATCCTATCCATAATTGGATTGTTTTATTTATATCTGCTACACAGTCTAAATCTAAAAAATCATGTTGTCCAGTTACTGGTTTAGGCGTCCTTCTTTTATTTAATTTTTTATCCCATGTAGTTTTTTCTCTATCATATTGTTCATAGTTTTCATTATAATATTTTGGATTTAAATTTTTGGGTGTTTTACTCCTGATGTGCTAGGTTTTTCATCTATGTCTACGTCTCCTGTATTTATTTCTAAATTCTTTGTATTATCTATGTTTGCTAAAAGTTCCGTATATGTTTCGCTTGTTTCCGAATGTTGTTCTAGATCATCGCCGTTTATTTCATCAATTCTTATTTAGGGTAGATTATCTTGGTTATTTTCTTCTTTTTCTTCTAATTCATCTTCTAATTTCATTTTTTCTTTAAATTTAATTATCTCATTTGCTAATTTTGTTTTTTGTTCCTTTTCTTTTTGTTTAATTTCATACATTTCTTTAATATGGCCAACTCTTTTTCTAGTTCTATTATTTTAGTATTTTTTACTTTTTCTAATTGTTGTACTTCCTTTTTTGCTTGTTTTATTTTTTCTAATTTTCGTTTTTCTATCTATTTCTTCATTTTCTTTTGTTATTCTTATCATAGCAGTTAAACTATCTTCTAGTTTTACCGTTTCTTTTTCTAACATTAAATTTAGATTGTCACCTATTTTCTTATATCTTCTTCCTAGATTAGAAAATATTATTTTTATTTTTAATCCGTCATAGTTTTCATATATTTTTTCGTCTATGGCATATTCTTCCTTATTCATTTATAGATTATGTTAGAGTTTATATTCTAAACTTTCTATTTGTATTTCTAGATAAAAAATAGTTTTTCTCTGTGCTATTATAGATTTTTTACAAATTCCTGTGAATATGTTATTATTAAGTCTATTTTGCCTATGTTCTAATTCTTGTATTTTCGCTATAATTATTTCAATGAGTTTTTCTTTATATTCGTTATTCTCGTTATTCATTGTATCTTTAAATATTTAATATATTTATATTCTATTTTAGATATATTATCTATTAATTGGTCTAAGTTTTCGTTATCAGTTTTTGTGATATTAAGCTGTTTATATTCCGGATATGATTTGTTTAATTTTCTTCTTATTTTTCTTAACTTTCTACTAGTATGTTTCTTACTATGTTTTTTATTATCCATAGCTCTGATACCATTTTTCAAAAATAGTTTATGTACATGCTAGCTCAAAAATAGTTTCTAGACAGGGTGGAGATTGAAGAGAACACAATTGTAAAGCAAATCATACACATTTAATATTATTTTTTCTGAAAATTGGCCATATTCAAGGCTTTTGCTTTTCAATTTGGTTACGATAAGTCCTAACAATCTAATCATATAATTGAAAACTCTAATTCAAGCATTATAAATCTTCAAAGTACTTGTCAAAATACTTCCACACCAAACCCCACATTCAGGAAGCCTTTTGAACCAAATGGGAATAGAGTTAACAGGTTCAGTGGAAATAACCTTGGAAGGAGGTTAACTGCCGCATAAATGGATAAAAAGAGGGCTAAAGGGTTATGTTATTCTTGTGATGAAAAGTACGTGGTTGGCCACATGATTGACACTAAAAGTACCCATAAATTAATTGACCAGGAAGTGGAGAAGAGGTTAAGTTGTAAGGTTAACCCTATCTAGGAGCAGTCAATCAATGCAGTTGATGAAAGAGAAGTGCAGACTTCCTCTATATGTAAAAATATTCAACAACTCTTACACTGAACAACTTTTGCTTCAGACTTCTTGCTATTGTCTTGGGAGTGCAATTGTTGAACACGTTGGGCAGAATCTTGTTTGACTTCAGCAATAGGACCATTGAATTTATGTATCAGAGCAAAAAGCATGTGCTAAGAGGTTCTAGTAGTCAGTTCAAGGCATCTAAGGCAAAGGTCTTTTGGTCGGGCTCTTCCCCGGACCCTGCACATAGCGGGAGATGTAGTGCACCGGGCTGCCCTTTTTTACTCACATCTTTTTGACATGGGAGCTGCATCATTTTATTGATGCAGACTCATGTACGCAGATACGAGATCAGGCAATATGCTAGGTGCTATATTCTCTGCTCTTGGTGAGCCCCTCTCTGTTCCAGGGGCCTAGTCTACAGTTCTCGAGTTCTCCAATCATTCACATTTCTTCTTAAAGTAATGTCACATCCTGTTTCGTCAAAACTAACAGATATGTATACATTTTTGAGAGATCTTTGTTATTCTTTTACATATGTAAATTTGACTACTTTCTACCATTAAGTAGGATATCTTGTTTGACGGTTTCAAGATCAAAGTGTTCCTTACACTTATGATTTTCTCGTCATAACAGCAATAAAATGCCAATATCAAATTTCACACAAAGAGAATTGGATGAAACAATGAATAACATAAATTTGTATTTTTCAAGTCAAAATGAACAGATCTGATAGTAAAAGACCGTGCTTGCCATCTCTTCGACAAAAAACCTCGAATAAAATTTTCTAGTTCATCTTCAGTATACACCAGCTTTAGGTCTTGTAAACTTATTTAACACAACCACATAAAGAAGGGGTTCACGAGCTATAAATGTTGATAACAGTATTTAACCGCTGACGTCAATATAGTCAGCAGAATGGCTGTGCAAAATATCAGGCGCATCAATCCACAGAATGAGGAGGCATGAAAATACAAAAAGTTTTAAGTCTTCTAATCAAGTGACTTGAATTTTTTTCTTAAATAAATATTGTCTATATCCATTTGACAAGAGGTGGTTAGTCATTTTAACTCAACTTTACATGCAGAAATTCCTTGTTTACTAATACTATACAAAATGGTTAAGAAACAAACAAGGAATTATTTTATTTCTCTGTCTACTATCTTTCATTTTTCTCATTTCTAATCCTATTGCTTGACAAAATTTCATGGGCAAAAGAATTTACACCGTGTTCCTACTCATAATCTCCTTAAGTGGGAAGTGAGTTCAACGAACAAATCCTCTTTGCAAGGTATTGTGAGACCACCCATTGGATGATCAAAGCCAAACTTTTCTTCAGCTTGAGTCAGCAAGTTTTGAAATATAGGCTGGCTCAGGTATGATATATTGGCACGACAAATCGCTTCTTATGGCTCTCTCCTATATATACTGCGCAATGTGCTTTTGGAACACCTCCAGATGTCGAAGACCTCCTTAGAATTCGATTAGCCTGAATAAAGGAGTCATTTTGATACCCATTATCTCAAGAAATAAGATGCAACTCTAACTGATGAAGGAAAACAAAGAACTTTGTTTTGCTGACATGTTTGGGTTTGAAATATATATATATATATATATAAGCTTATGACAAGTTTCATATCAAATATTTAATGGATACTTGTGAGGCAATGGCACATGAAACTTCACATGGTTTTGTTTACTCTGTTACTATCAACTCTTTCAGACAATAAATATGTTGAAAAACAACATTAGGCCCCACTTTTATTTTAAGAACACCTTTAAAATAGAATCAACAAAAATTGATGAAGTTGATTGACAAGATAGAAATCTATAGGTCACCTATCTACATGACAAAGAAAAGAGTGGAACGTGGTTTTGCTTCTTATCATCATTTATTTTCAAACAAGCTGCATCCACAAATTTTAGGCCCCATATCAACATGGCCAACAGGCATTCGCACATGGCTTTGCCTGCGGTGGTTAGTGACAAAAACTTCAGCTCCATTTTGTATAAATAATCCCCCATTCATGATCCTTTTTCATCATCAAGCACAGGAATTATCAATTTAGCCATCAAAGGTCTCTAAATTTCTCATTCCATTTCTTATTTCCAGTATTCAAAGGAAAAATGGCAATACTCAGTGCTAAGAAACTCATCAAGATGGCCAGGAAATGGCAGAAGTTTGCAGCCATGCAGAGGAAGAGGATTTCATTTCCAAGAAATGGTAGTGATGTAGACAGTTGCACTACTTCCTCATCCTCTATATTCGAGAAAGGCCATTTTGTAGTATATACAATTGATCAAGCCCGTTTTGTCGTTCCCTTGGCTTACCTTGAAAATGAGGTCATTAGACAGCTTTTGAACATGTCCGAAGAAGAGTTTGGGTTGTCAAGTGGTGGCCCTATTACATTACCTTGTGATTCAGCCTTCATGGACTACATCATTTCGCTAATAAAAAAAGGCATAGCTGCTGGAGATCTTCACAAAGCGTTGCTCCTATCAATTCCTTCTTCTAGCTGTTCGACTTCTTCTTTGCACCAAGAAAGTGGAAACCAACAGCTTCTTGTTTGTTGAGTGAAGGTTAACAATTTTGTTGTATGTGCTAGCTGAAAAATAGTTTTTTAGATGGTAAAGATTGAAGAGTACACAATTGTAAAGCAAATCATACACATTGAATATTATATTTGTCAGAACATTTACCATATTTAAGACTTCTACTTTTCAGTTTGGTTACAGAAGTCCTAACAATCTAATCTTGGATTGATATCTTTTCTTTTTATAAGCGAAAACTCTAATTCAAGCATGATAAATATATCATTATAAATAAATTTTCAAAGGCAAAATAGCACACACCTATCACCATTTTGATCTGTATTTTTTTGTCAGAACTTCATTTAATAAGTTGAATCAAAACAATTATTTCATAATATGAAAGATGAAAACGCTGTAAGTTTCAAAAGCAATTAATTATGGGGAGTTAGTTCCTGGATTATTGTAGGAAAGAGCATCCAGTGGCTTATTTCCAATGTTTTCTTGCTCTTCTTGAATTTGCACAGCTGAAGCCACCAGTTGAGAGTTGATTTCTTAGATGGTCACTCAACTAATAGTAATTATCTCAAAAAGTCACTTTCTTTGTAGAAAACTATCAGTTGAGTAATTTTATGGGGATAAGGCACAAGTATCCCCTAGATTGTGATCGAAATCCCAGAGATACATCTTAACTAAACTAAGGTCTTATTACCTCTTAACTCTTTTTTTTTGTAATTTTTGTACTACCTTTTTGGCTTATGTGGCACACTCCGTGACTCTACGCAGTTAAGGCGCGTGAGAGGTATTTGGATGCCACGTAAGCCAAAAAGGTAAACAAAAAGGTAACTATCAGTTGAGTAATTTTTCTGAGAAATCAACCCCACCAGTCCTGTAAACTCCTGTTACACAAAAATGAATCCACTGGTCTAGTTAGTTAGCTTTGGCATATCAACATTTAGTTATGGGCTGTTGAATTAGTTAGAAGCAATTAACAAATTAGATCCTTTTCCCATTTCTATAAACACATATTATCATCACAGATTCAATTATCAATTGAATATACTTCAAAGTTATTACTGAAATTCTATTCTTCATCTTCTATCTTTTCATCCAACATAGCTGAATAACTCGAGCTTCTCCGCTACACTACTTTTCAGCTTCTAAAACCTCGGATTCTACTTTAATCCCTGCATTTTAGGTAACAACTCGATAGGAATCTCTTCCTTATCAGGTATTCCATGACTTGAGATTTATCCTTCTTATCTAGCAAATACCCCTTCAGTTATCTATGATTCTATTCTTCGCCACAACAAGCATCTGATTTCAGCTTTAGCACTTCAAGGTTAGGCAATTCACTCAAGGTGTTCAGGTAGTCCTATGTCTGACCAATTAGGACCAATTTTAATTCCTTGAGATGTGACAGGAAAACTTTTTGCACTTGGAATAGATGGACACGATTATCAAACTACCTGTTTTTCCACCAATTTTATAGTCCTTCGTAGTCCCGTAAAATTTTAGCTTTTTGATGTTCTCACACCTTGGAATGATCTCTTTTGTACAACATTGTGGCAGCATGACAGAAACAATTTACAGGTATGGAAAACCTGAGCAACAGATCTTGGAGGATTTCAAAACAAAATTCAAGACAATGGCACATGAGATTTTTGCTTAATATGGTATTATCTAGTATTCAAACCAAAAATTAGTTGAAGAACAACATTAGGCCCCACTTTTATTTTAAGGACACCCTTAAAATAAAACCCACAAGAATTGATGAAGTTGATTATCAAGATGGGAAATCTAGAGGTCACCTATCTACATGACAAAGAAAAGAGAGGAACATGGTTTTGCTTCTTACCAGCAATTGTTCATTTAATGGTTTCAAATTATTGGTATTCAGAGAAGAAAGCAAGAAACTTATCATCTTTCATTTTCAAACTAGCTGCATCCACATATTTTAGGCCCCATATTAACTTGGCCAACAGTCATCGGCACATGGCTTTGCCTTCGGTGGTTAATGACTCCAACACAAGGTCTATCAATAGCCTTTTATAAATAATCCCCCATTCGTGATTCTTTTTCATCATCAAGCACAAGCATTATCAATTTAGCCATCAAAGTTCCCTAAATTTATCATTCATTTTCTTGTTTCCAGTCTTCAAAGGAAAAATGGCAATGCTCACCGCTAAGAAACTCATCAAGATGGCCAGGAAATGGCAGAAGTTTGCAGCCATGCAGAGGAAAAGGATTTCATTTCCAAGAAATGGTAGTGATGCAGGAAGTTGCAGTACATCTTCATACTCTATAGTTGAAAAAGGACATTTTGTAGTATATACAGCTGATCAAGTTCGCTTTGTCATTCCATTGGTTTACCTTGAAAATGAAATCATTAGGCAACTTTTGAACATGTCCGAAGAAGAATTTGGGCTACCGAGTGGTGGTCCTATTACATTATCCTGTGATTCAGCCTTCATGGACTACATCATTTTCCTAATCAAGAAAGGCATAACTGCTGGAGATCTACACAAAGCGTTGCTCCTATCAATTCCTTCTTCTTGCTGTTCGACTTTTTCTTTGAACCAAGAAAGTGGAAACCAACAGCTTCTTGTTTGTTGAGTCATAATACATGCTAGCTGAAAATAGTTTTTTAGGTAGGGCATACACTGATGAACATTACTGTAAAGCTAATCATACAGATATATTGAATATTATTTTATCAGAGAAAATTTACCATATCCATGGCTTTCACTTTTATGCTTGGTTATGAGAAGACTTAACAATCTAATCCTCGATTGGTACCTCTTATGTATTAACACCACTTTGTTTATGGCAAGAATTTCACTTACAGCAGTACCTTCTTGATTGAATAAGGTCTAAATGATCAATAAATCAACTATGCCTCCTTTTATGTGTATATGCATTAGTATGTTCTAAATATCTGCATTAGGGTGGCAGAGATGCGAGACAACAACATCTGAAGTACTGTTGTGCTTGTCTTCTAAGTTAGCATCCAGTGTGAACATTTTGTGGTATTTTCAGAAGCAATTAGGTGAATAAAATAATATGAGCTAACTAGACTTGAAATCTAAAGAAAAACTCAAGTATGATATCAAACAACTGCAGACGTCATTAAAATTCAATTAGATTGAATAAGTAGAGTCATTTGATGATTCCCCTTCTTTCAAGATGTGATTTTTAACTCTAACTGATGTTATAAGAATGAACAAGTAACACATAATCTTGAGAAATGCACGGAAAAGGAAAGGTTTTTGCACTGAGTATATATAAGTTTATGGAAAGTTTGATATCCAAAAGTTTATCCAAATATACAGACACTAAACTTGTTAAATAGTATGCCTCAGCTTCTCATAACTTAGAATCAAGGACATCATAAAAAACTTAAAGCCTTAAGTATAGATAAAGCTGATGACTTGGTTCCGCTACGTAATTTCTTGTTTCTTATCACAAACTTCATTCTTATTCTGCTAAATGATACTTTCTTGGATGTGTTAGTTTGCAAGCAAATATAACCAATAAAAATAGTGATTATAAGAAACAGTACTTCTGCTATTAATAAATTGATCATGGAAACAACTTCTATAGATTCTTGTGTTTCTGAACTATACAGCGAAAGTTCCTTTCTAAATCTCCTATTTCTAATATTTAAGTCTACTTCTCTACAAAATTTCATGTGCAAGAGAATTTGCACTTTGATACAATGTATGATCTCAAGCGGGATGTGAGATGAACAAACACGTCTTCCTTGCAAGGTATTGTGAGACCACCCATTGGATGATCGAAACCAAACTGTTCTTCAGCTTGAGTTAACAAGTCTTGAAATAAAGGCTGTCTCAAGTATGATATTGGCACGACGAATCTCTTCTTCTGGCTCTCTCCTACATATACTGCACAATGTCCTTTTGGAACACATCCGGAATTTGAAAACCTCCTCAAGATTCTAGTACCTTGAATAAGCGGACTCATTTTGATACCCATAGTGAGATACTTTGTAACTTCAAATGATGACATCAAAGAAAGATAAAGGATTTTGAGGAATACACAGCAAGTGAAACTTGTGTTTTGCATAAAAAACTTTATATGAATGTATATATACAAAGTTAGTGGTAAGTTTCATATCCAAATTTAATGGTGAAGAGAATTTTGTGGCCACTGGTTAGGGACAATGGCACATGAAACTTCACATGACCTTCCTTGCTCTATTATTATCAAGTATTCAGACAATAAATTTGTTGAAGAACAACATTAGTCCCCAATTTTATTTTACGAACACCCTTAAATTAAAATCGACAAGGATTGATGAAGTTGATGCCAATATAGAAATCTAAAGGTCACCTATCTACATGACAAAGAAGAGATCAGAACATAGTTTTGCTTCTCACCAGCAATTGTTCATTCAATGGTCTCAAATTATTGACATTGCTGAGAAATACCGAGTAGGCCTAGTTAATCAAAGAATAGAAAGGAAGAAACTTATCTTCTTTTATTTTCAACATAGCTTCATCCACAAATTTTAGGCCCCATACCAACTTGGCCAACAGACATTAGCACATGGCTTTGGCTTTGGTTAGTAACAAAAACTTAAGCTCCATCTTGTATAAATAATCCCTCTTCTATGAGCCTTTTCATCATCAAGCAAAAGCATTATCAATTCATCCATAAAAAATCTCTAAATTTCTTATTTACTCTCTTGTTTCCAATCTTCCGGTATTTTTTTAACAATGATCAGTACCAAGAAACTCATCAAAATGGCCAGGAGATGGCAGAAGTTCGCAGCCGGGCAGAGGAAGAGGATTTCATTTTCAAGAAATGTTAGTGATGTAGATGATTGCAGTACGTCTTCATCGTCTATAGTTGAAAAAGGGCATTTCGTAGTATATACAATTGATCAAAAGCGCTTCGTGATTCCCTTGGTTTATCTTGAAAATGAGGTCATTAGGCAGCATTTGATCATATCTGAAGAAGAGTTTGGTCTGTCAAGTGATGGCCCTATTACATTACCTTGTTATTCAACCTTCATGGACTACATCATTTCGCTAATAAGGAAAGGCGTAACTGCAGGAGATCTTCACAAAGCATTGCTCCTATCAATTCCTTCATGTTGCTGTTCGACTTCTTTTTTGTTCCAAGAAAGTGGAAACCAACAGCTTCTTGTTTGTTGAGTCATAATCAACATTATATTTATTACATTCTAGCTCAAAATAGTTTTTAGATAGGGCATTCACTGAAGAACACACTTGTAAAGCGCATCACACAGATTGAATATTATTTAATCAGAGAAAGTTTATCATATCTGTGGCTTTCAGTTATACATTTGGTTATCAAAGGTCCCGAACTATAATTATTTATTAGGTCCATTCAGTTGTCAACCAAATGAAGAAATAAAGAAACTCATCAACTTCCATCCTGTCAAACAAAATTTTTTCACAAATTTAATACCCCATATCAATATCCAACAGACATCAGGCTTTGCTGAAGTATCCACATTAAAGTGGCAAAGGTGAGAGACAACGGCATCTGAAGTACTATCACGTTGCTTTGTCTTCCAAGTTAGTGTCAGCATATTAAAAATAAACTTGTTAAAGAAAATAAGATGTCCAAAATATATTTGTGCAGAAACAATTAGGTGATAAAACAATTGCAGATGCTGAAGACGTCCTTAAGTGGAGTCATCTTGATTGCTGTTCTTTCAAGCTATTATTTTTAACTCTAAATGATGATCTAAGAATAAACAAGAAACAAATAATCTTGAAAAATGCACAAAAAATGAAATATTTTGTCACTGTACATGTTATGGCAAGTCTCACATCCAAAAGTTTAGTAGTCGAGACAAATAAGGTGTTGCTGGTGAGAAACAACTCAAATAACATTCTTATTCCGATAAATGATACTTTCTTCGATGTGCTAGTTTGTGCCACACAGTGCAACTGTTGCATGCAGGGGCTTAATTAATTTGCTTAGAAGAAATATCATAAATGAATAACAGAATTGTTTTAGCAGATACTACCAAAATAGTGATTATTAGAACCAGCACTTTTGCTATTCATAAATTTATCATTGAAGATTTTTTCTAGTTTCTTGTGTTTCTGAACTATACAGTGGATTTTACTCTTTCTAATATCCAAGTCCTACTACTACTTCACAAAATTTCATGTGCAAAATTTGAATTTGCACTTTGATACAATTCATCGTCTTAAGCGGGATGTGAGATCAACAAACACGTCCTCTTTGCAAGGTATTGTGAGACCACCCATCTGATGATCGAAGCCAAACTGTTCTTCAGCTTGAGTTAACAAGTCTTGAAATAAAGGTTGGCTCAAGTAAGATATTGGCACGACGAATCTCTTCTTCTGGCTCTCTCCTACATATACTGCACAATGACCTTTTGGAACACCTCCGGAATTTGAAAACCTCCTCAAGATTCTAGTACCTTGAATAATCGGACTCATTTTGATACCCATAGTGAGATACTTTGTAACTTCAAACGATGACTTAAAAAGAAAAAGAATGAATGATTTTGAGAAATACACAGCAAGTGAGACTTGTGTTTTGCATAAAAAAAACTTTCTATGTATGTGTATATATACAAAGTAGTGGTAAGTTTCATCTATATTACCTTAAAAGCACCAACTCCTAACTTAATGGTAAATTACTAAATAACCCTCCTAACTTAAAGGTAAATTACTAAATAACCCCTATTCCATCCTACACCACCCGCACTATATGCACCCTATAGCATAAGCCGCCACTTCCCCCGTTGAACTTTTACCATGGCCTTTCGTACATTACACACAACCATTCTGAAAAGCCACCACTTCCACTCCCTTGAAATTGAACAAACACGTCCGCCTAGAATTATCAAACAGTCGCAACCCATCGCTTCCCACAATATATAACTCATGAACTCAATTACTTCTACCCATCGAACGTATATTACGCTTAACGCACAGGTTTGCATCAACGCACCCTCTCCTTCACAATACTACCTTACTGAATCTATCAGTTTCCTTCACTTTTTGATTTGGGTTTTCTTCACGCAGCAAACTTAGAAACGTATCATCTGGCTCTCTGCCCTGCTTTTAGACAAGTTGTAAGTGAATCCCTTTTCTAAGTTATCCCGTTAATAATTTAAACTTTCAGGGACAGGACTACTTGGCACCATATATATGCCCATGCCATTCTGGAAGCACACAATTTTAAACACATTCCGCACTGTATAATGACTACAAGAACAATCCACTCATTCACTTTGATCCTCCCCTTTGCTGCAACAATACGACTACCTCGCCTGCACATACTGCAAGCACACGATGTGAAACACATTCCACACTTTGTAATGACTACACGAACAATCCACTCATCCACTTTGATCCTCCCCATTGCTGCAACAATATGACTGCCTCGCCTGCACATATATAATTCCCTTCCAATTGCAACTATAAAAGTCCTATATTTGGGGTACTTCTAACCTTAGGAATGGCATCTTTACACATATATAATTCCCTACCAATTGCAACTATAAATGTCCTATATTTGGGATACTTCAAACCTTAGGAATGGCATCTTTACATCTTATTACTGTTAACATATGTTCATATATATGTTAGTGCTAACCTTATATTTCTCGCACATTACAACTTACTGCTAACGTCTTAATTGCATGGAATTTTCGCCAAATGTTGCATACTATTACCAGACGCTGCCCTCATCAATCGTCGCCATACACAATTACGCCCAATGTTAACATTGTTTCACTCATTTCACCAGGCACCTGCATTCATCCAGATACATCCATGGAAGATCACTTGAAGAGGCCGCTCAGAACAACAGGTATGCTTAGAAAAATGTCATTTTAATGCCAAATTTCACCTATCAGGCCGACTAAAGATTGAAAATTATAGGGGTGAAACGTAAAATACTAACGGATGTAGACAAGCCGTTGCAAACAGTGGAAAGAGTACTGCCCTCAAATGATCAAATTGAAGATGCCCATGTTCATGAACCCCGAGTGAAGAAGCGACAAAAAAAAGTGAAACGTCTAGCTATATCTGACGATAATGTTGACGAAGGTATATTTGATCAAATATTCTAACCCAAAAGTTATTCCAAAAAATGGTTGTCAACATAAAATAACATTCTCTAACTATATATTATTATGGTATGTGCTATAGGGCTTACTAATGGAAACTTCAGACGACCATCAACTCATAGATTGAAAAAAAACCAAGATTGCACATATTGCCATGCTTTAAGGTTTGAATATGAGCCATCAACATTCTGTTGCGCAAGTGGATGTATCAATTTAGCACCCAATGAAGTGGCAGATGACTTTTATGAATTATTTGTGGCGGATTCAGATGACGCAAAATTATTCAGGAAAAACATACGTGCGTATAATAGCATATTTGCTTTTACATCATTTGGAGTTAAGCTCGACAAAGAATTGACATCTTCTAGGAAAGGAGTTTACAGTTTCAAGGCACAAGGTCAGATATATCATGATCTACATCGTTAATTCCAAACAACGACAGACCACGATACTTTCAACTATACTTCTATGATACTGACCATGAATTAGCCAATAGAATGACAGTACTACAAGATGCAAATTTATCAGAGGAAGTCATGACCAAATTAAGAAATATAATGGAGGGGAATCCATATGCAGAATTCTTCTCACGGATTAAAGAACATACAAACTTACAAAATCTGCAAGTACGCATAGCTGCAAATGCTTCATTAGATTAAAGGGTGTATAACAAACCGTCGGTGGATCAGGTCGCAGCAATTTGGGTAGACGGAAACAATCCAAATACACCATTTGAAAGAGATATTGCAATACATGAACATTCAGGAAATAAACATCGAGTAAAACATTATTATGGTTGTTATGATTCGCTTCAATATCCGTTAATTTTACCTAAAGGAGAAGCAGGTTGGCACCAAGAAATACAAAAATGTCGCAAACAGATCAACAACAGTCAAACACCTACAAATACAAGTATCGAATCGGCAAGATTATCATCCACAACTATTGTGGGGTTGTTGGCCAATGAAGCACAAGGTAAGCACCTTTCAATATATCCAACAATAATATACTATCATTGGACTATCATATTACACCTTTTAACTTAAAATATACTGGTACTACTAACCTTATATAGATAAGTTATCTAAGTATATTTCTTAACAATTCATGTAGTTGTACGACGTGAAACAAAAGGCTATATTTCATGTAAGGAGTACTATTGTTATACACTACAAGTACGAACGGGTGACAAATCAATACTATTACTGTGCGGGAGATTGTTGCAGCAATTTGTGGTGGACATATACATTAAGATAGAAACAACCAGACTAGAATATTATAGATTCGAGCAATCAAATTATCGAAGGGAGATACTTGAAGGTATTGTTGACAGTGTCAGTGCCGGTGAGTGTAGAGGAGACAAGGTAGGACAAAGGGTATTACTACCAGGATCGTTCATTGGAGGGCCTAGGGATATGCGCCACCGATATATGGATGCAATGGCTTTGGTTCAGGAGTTTGGACGACCAGATGTTTTCATCACCATGACATGTAACCCAGATTGGGTTGAGATTCAAGAACAATTGCGTCCAAGACAACTCCCTCAAGACAGACCCGATTTGGTAACCAGAGTATTTCGAGCAAAATTGCAAGACTTGAAAGATCAAATTTTAAAACAAGAAATATTCGGACCCATCGCAGCACATGTCTTTGTTGTAGAATTCCAGAAGAGAGGCTTACCGCATATACACCTACTTCTAATATTTAAAGAAGGAAACAAAATACGATCACCAGATGAGTATGATAAATACATTAGTGCAGAAATCCCTAATAAAGACACATATCCAGAATTGAGCACATTAGTTATCAAACATATGATACATGGACCTTGCGGGGATAAACGTAAGTCGAGCCCGTGTATGAAAGATGGACAATGTAAATTCCACTACCCAAGAACATTCACCAACAAAACAATACAAGGAAAGGATGAATATCCAATTTACAAAAGAAGAAATGATGGGAGAACAAGTGAGGTCCATGGAATGAACACGAATAACCAATGGGTTGTACCTTATAATCCCTATTTATTGATGAGATATAATTGCCACATTAATGTTGAAGTCTGCTCAGGAGTTAAAGCAATAAAATATCTTTACAAATATATATATAAAGGCCACGATAAATGTGCCGTATATATAGAATCTGACGATGGGGAAAAATTCATTGATGAAATCAGAAGCTTCCAAGATGCACGATGGGTCTCACCACCAGAAGCAATGTGGAGAATATATGAGTTTAATCTAACTGAAATGCAACCGGCAGTTATCAATCTACAATTACATCTTCCTGGCAAACAACCAGGTATTTAACAATTTTAGTAAAAATGCGATTTACAAAAATAGTTTCTACCCTACATAGAACATCAGTTTATGTTATAATGACTAAACCATATGTAGTGTGCTATTGGAAGAAGCAAAATCTACAAAGTATTCTGCAATCAGACTTTGTACAAAAAACTATGCTTACGAAGTATTTTAGGATGTGCTCTATAGACACGGAGGCTCGCAATTACCTTTACAGAGAGTTCCCGGAGCATTTTGTATGGAACTCACAATCCAAAATATGGACAAAAAGAAAATCATGCACTGTCATTGGACGCATAAATATTGGTAAGACAATTACACATACTGTCCATATTAATTAATCACACATAATGAAGATACTAAATGAATCTACTCAATATCACAGCAAATCCTAGAGAAGGAGAAATGTATTACGAAAGACTATTATTGAATCACGTACGAGGAGCCACTTCATTTGAAAACTTACTAACTGTTAATGGAAGGCAGTGTGAAACGTTTAAAGAGGCAGCCAAAGAAAGAGGTTTATTAGAATCGGATAATAGCATTTCTGAATGTTTACGCGAAGCTGTCACCTTCAAGATGCCAACAACACTTCGAAGTTTGTTTGCAACAATCTTAGTTCATTGCAACCCTACGGATGTGAGAAGTCTTTGGGACACATATTACGGTGATATGTCTGAAGACTTTCAAAGGAGCCATTGCACCACAATCGAGGCACAGCTCCAATGTACGTTGAAAAGTATAAATTATTACTTAGAGAGTATGGGACAAAGTGTTGACAAATATGACATACCACAAATACAACAACAATTACATCAACAAAACACACGTGAATGTAGAGAAATAATAGAAGAAATGAATGTCACGGTGCCAGTTGAGGATGCAGCCGCCGAATCCAAATTGAATCAACAACAAAAACAAGCTTTCAATACAATTCTACAAAGGGTCAATTCAGAAACAGAAGGTTTATTCTTTGTAGATGGCCCTGGGGGAACCGGGAAAACATTTCTATATCGGGCATTACTAGCCAACGTGAGATCAAAAGGTACGATAGCATTGGCCTGTGCAACCAGTGGTAGTGGCAGCAGCACTATTGCCGGGAGGGCGCACAGCACACTCAAGATTTGGAATACCCCTACAAGCAAATGAGACAAGTATGACACATATGTCAAAACAAGGCGGCGGAGCAAAACTAATTAAACAGGCCAAATTAAGAATCTGGGACGAAGCACCCATGGCGAAGCGGCACACAATTGAAACAGTCGACAGAAGCTTTCGCGATATAATGGATAAAGATGCACCGTTTGGAGGAAAAATCATGGTGTTTGGAGGCGACTTCCGACAAGTACTGCCTGTTGTACCAAAATCTACACGAGCAGAGACCATAGATGCAAGTTTAGTAAGGTCGTATCTGTGGCCTTTAATGGAAAAGATACAACTTTCAACAAATATGCGAGCAAGAACAGATACAACTTTCAGTGAGTTGTTGCTGCGTATTGGAAACGGAGAAGAAACCACAATAAAATAAAACTTGATAGCGCTGCCGCAACAAATGATTGTCCAACAAAGTCAGGATGGTAATCCTAAAGAATCATTGGTCAGGGAAATTTTCCCAGCAATTGAACAAAATTACAGATCTGCTGAGTACATAACAGAACGAGCCATCTTAGCAAGTCGAAATGAATTTGTAGATAACCTAAATGATTGATGATTGGAAAATTCCCAGGAGAAACAAAAACATATATCAGCTTTGACGCAGGCCATCTTAGTAAGTCGAAATGAATTTGTAGATAACCTAAATGAATTGATGATTGGAAAACTCCCAGGAGAAACAAAAACATATATCAGCTTTGACGCAGCGGAAGATGATACCAACAACTACTATCAAGAAGAATACCTCAACACCTTAACACCAAATGGACTACCGCCACATAGGTACATTATCAAATACATCAAAACTTATACATAACTATTATTATTATGTTAGCTCATTACACAAATGAAATAAACAAAATTTCCACTATTACAAATTCAATACAACTGATAAATGATTAAGTTGTATGCATTAGGTTGGTTCTAAAAGAAAATGCACCCATAATGATGCTGAGAAATCTAGACCCCTCAAATGGGTTGTGCAATGGGACAAGACTGATTTGTAGAGGTTTTGACAGGAATGTCATACATGCAGAAATAACAACAGGTCAATATGCCACAAAACAAGTGTTTATTTCGAGAATACAACTATCACCACCCGAGAATGAAGGCTATCCTTTCAAATTTATTCGGAAACAATTTCCAATACGTTTATGTTTTGCAATGACAATAAATAAGGCACAAGGTCAAACAATACCAAATGTTGGGTTGTACCTACCACAACATGTATTCTCACATGGTCAATTGTATGTGGCACTATCGAGAGGAATATCTATGGAGACAACTAAAATATTGGTAATGACTGAACAACCAGAGCGACACGCAGGGACATACACAAGAAATATTGTCTACAAGGAAGTTTTAGGAGATATTTGAAGGATAAACACAACACAACATGAAGCTAATGAAGGATGGGTGGATGCATTCGTAAGTATGGTGGAAGAGGAGAGAATATGAACAACATCAGGCAATTACCAAATAAGACATTACTTTTGTGTTTATTCAATTATGTAAATATACAGTACACAATGATTAGACCTTATTGTAAAGGAGTCATGACGGAACATAACTAATAGGGCAGATTGTTAAGTCAAGCACAATTACTTAACAATAAATAACGTACAATCAAATTAAGAGGACGGCGCCCGACTAAAATCCCCATAACACAAATAGTACAGATGTGTGTTTGGTCAGTAAGTAGGTTGTAATGAATAATGACTTACAAAGCCATAGGATGAACAACTAAAATGTAGATTAACAAGATACGGCTTACGGTACAGGGATTTAAAACTATACATACAACTACCATAAGTATAATACACATTTAACTGGCGTTTCAAAATTAGAAATCACAAATTAAAGTACACAACAAAATCAACATTGCACTTCTCAGATTGAATATAACTTCACCCAAGTAGTAAACATCAAAACCAAGCAGGTATGTTACCCATTTCTAAAATGGAAATACACATCGTACAACCATCCATGAGATGTTTCACCACATATTCAACATGTGGTTAAAAAAAGGGCGGTCACAGCATCTACTGCAATACTTAAACCAAAAATGACCGCTTGAGTGGGAATTTTTTGGCCTTTATGTTCAATGGACAGAAAATGCTAATTACACCTGAGTCTAATTTATTTATGCAACTATTATGCGTATTACAGGTTAACAGAAAGACAAAAAAATGAAAATTATTGCAAAATATACCAAAACAAACGACTGGTCGGAAGAACTACAAGGCCACATAATACCGACTTGCAAAAAAAGTGGCAAAACACACAAAAATATGGGCCAGATTAAGTACCAAAATACTATCATACATGTAACAATCTTAAGACGAAGCAACCACGTGCAACGCACGTGCGGTAAATCTAGTATACAAAATAAATGTGAAGAGAATTTGGTGGCCACTGGTGAGAGACAATTGCACATGAAACTTCACATGGTTTTGCATACCCTGTTATTGTCAAGTATTCAGACAATAAATTTGTTGAAAAACAGCATTAGGCCCCAATTTTATTTTATGGATACCCTTAAAATAAAATCGACAAGGTTTAATGAAGTTGATGCCAAGATGGAAATCTACATGACAAAGAAGAGAGCAGAACATGGTTTTGCTTCTCACCAGCAATTGTTCATTTAATGGTCTCAAATTATTGGCATTGGTGAGAAGAAACAAAGAAACTTATCGTCTTTTAAACTAGCTTCATCCACAAATTTAAGGCCCCATATTAACATGGTCAACAGACATCAGCACATGGCTTTGCCTAACAAACTTATCAGCTCCTCTTGTATAAATAAGCCCTCTTCCTTGAGCGTTTTCATCATCAAGCACAAGCATTATCAATTCAACCATCAAAAGTCTCTAAATTTCTTATTTACTTTCTTGTTTTCAATCTTCCGGAAAAGAAAATGGCAATGATAAGTACCAAGAAACTCATCAAAATGGTTAGGAAATGGCAGAAGTTTGCAGCCATGCAGAGGAAGAGGATTTCATTTCCAAGAAATGGCAGTACATCCTCATCACCTATAGTTGAAAAAGGACATTTTGTAGTATATACAGTCGATCAATTTCGCTTTGTCATTCCATTGGCTTACCTTGAAAATGAAGTCATTGAGCAACTCTTAAACATGTCCGAAGAAGAGTTTGGACTGCCGAGTGGTGGCCCTATTACATTACCTTGTGATTCAGCCTTCATGGACTACATCATTTCGCTAATAAAAAAGGCATAGCTGCTGGAGATCTTCACAAAGCGTTGCTCCTATCAATTCCTTCTTCTAGCTGTTCGACTTCTTCTTTGCACCAAGAAAGTGGAAACCAACAGCTTCTTGTTTGTTGAGTCATAATCAACATTTTTTCTTATTACACTCTAGCTTAGATAGGACATAGAATGGAGAACACAATTGTAAAGCGCATCATACAGATTCAATATTCAATATTATTTTATCAGAGAAGATTTACCATATCTACATCTTTAACTTTTACATTTGGTTATGAGAAGACTTAACAATCTAATCCTGGATTAGTACCTCTTATGTATTAACACCTCTATGATATCAATTCTTCATTCAAAGGTCCCAAACTATTATTATTTGTGAGAAGTTCCTAAGTGTTATTCCGCAAGCAAATGAAGAAAGAAAGGAAATCTGCAAGACTTTTTCACAAATTTAAGACCCCATATCAATATCCAACAGAAATCAGGCTTTACTAAAGTATCGCGTGGCTTTGTCTTCCAAGTTAGTGTCAGAATATTAAATTAAACTTGTTGAAGATAATAAGATGTCCAAAATATATTTGTGCAGAAACAATTAGGTGAAAAAACAACTGCAGATGCTGAAGAACCTAAATGATGTCCAAAATATATCGCGCGGCTTTGTATTTCAAGCTATGATTTTTAAATCTAAATGATGATCTAAGAACAAACAAGAAACAAATAATTTTGAGGAATGCTCAAATACTCTTTGTGTATGTGTATATATAAGTTTATGGCATTCAAATGACAGTCTTATTCCACTAAATGATACTTCCTTCGATGTGCTAGTTTGCGCCACACGGTGCAACTGTTTCATACAGGAGCTTAAATATTTTTTGAAGAAATATTCTAAATGAAAAACAGATTTTTTTTTGCAAATACTACCAAAATAGTGATTATCAGAACCAGCACTTCTGCTATTCATAAATTGATCATTGAGGAAATTTTCAAGGTTCAAGTGTTTCTGAACTATACAGTGGATTTTTCTCTTTCTAATATCTAAGTCCTACTACTTTACAAAATTTCATGTGCAATAGAATTTGCACTTTGATACAATTCATCGTCTCAAGCGGTATGTGAGATCAACAAACACGTCTTCTTTGCAAGGTATTGTGAGACCACCCATCTGATAATCGAAGCCAAACTGTTCTTCAGCTTGAGTTAACAAGTCTTGAAATAAAGGTTGGTTCAAGTATGATATTGGCACGACGAATCTCTTCTTCTGGCTCTCTCCTACATATACTGCACAATGACCTTTGGGAATACCTCCGGAATTTGAAAACCTCCTGAAGATTCTAGTCCCTTGAATAAGAGGACTCATTTTAATACCCATAGTGATATACTTTGGTAGCTTTAAATAAGTGACTTAATAAAAGACGGATTTTGAGAAATACACAGAAATTGAGACTTGTGTTTTGCATAAAAAACTTTCTATGTATGTGTATATATACAAAGTTAGTGATAAGTTTCATATCCAAGTTTAATGGTGTAGAGGATTTGGTGGCCGCTGGTGAAAGACGTTGGGACATGAAGCTTCACATGGTTTTGCTTACTCTGTTATTGTCAAGTATTCAGACAATAAATTTGTAGAAGAATGACATTAGTCCCCGCATTTATTTGAAATAAAATCCACAAGAATCAATGAATAGATGCCGAGATGGAAATCTAAAGGTCACCTATCTACATGACAAAGAAGAGAGCAGAGCATGGTTTTGCTTGTTACCAGCAATTGTTCATTTAATGGTCTCAAATTATTGGCATTGCTGAGAAATACCAAGTAGGCCTAATTGATTAAAGAGAAGAAAGGAAGAAACTTATCATCATTTATTTTCAAACAAGCTGCATCCACAAATTTTAGGCCCCATATCAACATGGCCAACAGGCATTGACACATGGATTTGCCTTCGGTAGTTAGTGCCAAACACTTCAGCTCTAACTCAAGGCCTGTCTATAGCCTCCTTATATAAATAATCCCCCATTCATCTTCATCAAGCACAAGCATTATCAATTTAGCCATCAAATTTCTCTAAATTTCTCATTCAATTTCTTGTTTCCAGTCTTCAAAGGAAAAATGGCAATGCTCAGCGCTAAGAAACTCATCAAGATGGCCAGGAAATGGCAGAAGTTTGCAGCCATGCAGAGGAAGAGGATTTCATTTCCAAGAAATGGTAGTGATGCAGACAGTTGCAGTACATCTTCATCTTCTATGGTTGAGAAAGGCCATTTTGTAGTATATACAACTGATCAAGCCCGTTTTGTCGTTCCCTTGGCTTACCTTGAAAATGAGATCATAAGGCAACTTTTAAGCATGTCCGAAGAAGAGTTTGGGTTGCCGAGTGGTGGCCCTATTAAATTACCCTGTGATTCATCCTTCATGAGCTACATCATTTCACTAATCAAGAAAGGTGTAGCTGCGGGAGATCTTCACAAAGCAGTGCTCCTCTCGATTCCTTCATGCTGCTGTGCAACTTCTTCTATGCACCAAGAAATTGGAAGCCAGCAGCTTCTTGTTTGTTGAGTTAAGGTCCACAATTTTTTGTACATGGTAGCTCAAAAATAGGTTTTAGAAAGGCGGACATTGAAGAGTACACAATTGTAAAGAACATCATACAAATTGAATACTACTTTATTTGAAAATTTACCATATTTCCTATTGCATATATTTTGATCAAGATTTGAAATACAAAATATAGAAAACTAAATCAAAATCTGAGATCCGACCCTTCTTCCGAAAAAAGGGAAGGAAAGGGAGAAGAATCTTCTCAAATGGATCCCTCTTGTTCTGTTTAGTCCAGTCCATGCATTTACTGAGAAAGAAATCCACCAGGGCAAAAATACTAAAGATGCATAGAAAAGAGGACTGAGACACGGCCTGAACTCCCACGGGGGGAAGCAGTGGGGAATCTTGGACAATTAGATCCACCCGATCGATGAACACTCAAACCAGACTCTCCCAGCCTTTTGGGCACATGGATGCGAGAACCAATCCGAGTAATCAACTGCTTTTTCAACTCTTTTGAATTCATTGATCCTTTTCCGCTTCCGAGAATCCCCCACTTCTTCCACTCTGCCCCGAAGAGTAACTAGGACCAATTTAGTCATGTTTTCATGTTCTCACTATTCAATTTGGTTATGAGTAGTCCTAACAATCTAATGTTGGAGTTTGGCACTTCCTTGATTGAAAAAAAACTAGATGGTATGAAAATTTGAAACAAAGGAGATCAAACGATCAACATTCAACTACGTCTCAAACCCAAACTGTTTAGTCTCAATTATATGAATCAACTTTATGTGTTATGTTCTAATTAGGTCCATTCACTCCCATAAAGGTCTCAGTCCATTCGGTCGTCAATTTAATGAAGAAAATAATAAACTCATTATCTTCCATCCTTTGAAACAAGATTCATCCACAAATTTAAGTCCCCATATCCAGAAGGTATACTGCATCAGGCTTTGCTGAGGTATTTTCATTAAGGTGATAGACAACAGCATTTGAAGAATAAACTGGTTGAAGAAAATATTATGTCCAAGTATATTTATGGTATTTTCATAAGAAATTAGGAGATAAACTACAATATGATCTAACGGATCTTGAAATAAAGGTGGATTCAAGTATGTTATTTGATTAGACTTAATAAATGGAGTCGTTTTGATACCCATTGTTTCAAGAGACAATTCTATTATTCTAAAAAATGACCTAAGAGAAAACAAAAACAAATAATTCTGAGAAATGCATGTTAGCATGATTGGACAGATTCTAAATATCTGTACATATCTATGTTATAACTCTAAATATTTGTGTAATGATGATAGGAGATAGCATAGATTAATGTAGCATATTTTCAGAGAATATTAACAATTAGGAATAACATATATTTAGGATATATAGCAGATTTTTCGGCATGTAAATCAGAATTCTTTTCTATTTAATGGAAGAACTCTCATTTGAGAGAACTCATTCAGCAAAATTGACATGGTATTAGAGCCTTTTTCAGTGCTTTAGTGCTTTGATTCTTAGTGTCTTTCATCTGTGGTTTCTTTCAGAATTTTTTTTTGAAAGTTTTGGTTCAGCTTACTGTTTTTTAGTCAACGGTAAGTCCTAAGTATCTTGAAATTTTAGGCATCTTGGAATCTCAGTCTTGGTCATTTGGTATTTTGTATCATTGCATTTCTATCTTCCTTAACTTGTCAAGAACATGGCGTCATATCAGTTTGAGTCCTTCTATGTTCGTTTCACAGGAAAAATTACTTTGCCTGGGAATTTCAATTCCAACTATTTGTCACCGGAAAAGAATTATGGGGACATATAGATGGAAGTGATCCTACTCCTACTGATCCGACAAAGCTCGGTCAATGGAAGTTAAGATGCTCGGGTGATGACATGGCTTTTAGGGTCAATTGACCCTCTTATTGTTCTTAATCTCAGGCCATACAAGACAGCAAAGGCAATGTGGAATTATTTACAAAAGGTTTACAACCAAGACCATAGCGCAAGGCGCTTTCAGTTAGAGCATGAAATTGCTATGTATTCTCAAGGAGGTCTCTCTGTTCAAGATTATTTCTCTGGATTTCAGAACTTATGGGCTGAATTTACCGATATCATTTATACTACAATACCTTCTGAATCTATCTCCATCATTCAAGGAGTTCATGAACAAAGCAAGCGAGATCAATTTTTGATGAAATTACGATCTGATTTTGAAAATGTTCGCTCCAACTTGACGAACCATGATCCATCTCCATCGTTGGATGTCTGTTTTAGGGAATTACTTTGTGAAGAGAAGCGTTTCTTCACATAAAATGCTTTTCATCAAGGAAATGTTGTCACTGTCGCATTTGCAGCTCAAGGGAAAGGAAAGGGCATGGATATGGCTAGAACTCAATGCTACAGTTGCAAGAAATATGGTCATATTGCTAGTAATTGTGGCAAGAAGTTCTGTAATTATTGTAAACAACAAGGACACATTATCAAATAGTGTCCCACACGTCCTCAAAATCGTAGGGCAAATGCTTTTCAAGTTGGGATAAATGGTTCAACTACAGATAACTCGTCTTCAGTAGGACAAGTTCTTACTCCTGAAATGGAACAACAAATGATCTTGTCAGCATTTTCAGCTTTAGGGTTGCAAGGTAATGAGGTAATATCTAAATTTTGGCTTGTTGATTCTGGCACTTCCAATCATATGACCAACTCAACTAATATACTCAAAAACATCCGTGAGTATAATGGTCCAACACAAATTAAGGTTGCCAATGGTAGTAATTTACCCATTACCAAGGTTGGGGATATTTCTGAAACTTTCAAGAATGTTTTTGTATCATCAAAGCTCTCCACTAGTCTTATTTCAGTTGGCGAATTGGTAGATAACAATTGTGATGTGAATTTTTCTCGTAATGGTTGCATTGTGCAGGATCAGGTGTCGAGGACGATAATCGCGAAGGGGCCTAAAGTTGGAAGATTGTTTCCTATACACTTTTCTATTCCTCGTGTTCTAGCTCTTGCTTCTACCACTACTAAGAATGAGGTTTGGCATAAACGTCTAGGACATCCACATTCTATTGTGTTGTCTCATTTGTCCAATTCTGGTTTATTGGGAAATAAAAATCAATTTTCAGTTGCTTCCTTTGATTGTTCTACTTGTAAATTAGGCAAAAGTAAAACTCTTCCTTTTCCTAATTTTGGTAGTCGTGCTACAAAGTGTTTTGATGTCATTCATAGTGATGTTTGGGGCATTTCACCAGTTATTTCTCATGCTCATTTCAAGTATTTTGTGACATTTATAGATGACTATAGTCAATTTACATGGGTGTATTTTCTTCGATCTAAATCTAAAGTGTTTTCCATATTCAAGAAATTTTTGGCTTACGTTGAGACTCAATTTTCCACATGCATCAAAATATTAAGATCTGATTCTGGTGGAGAATATATGTCTCATGAATTCAATAATTTCTTGCTTGAGAAAGGAATTGTATCACAACGCTCTTGCCCATATATGCCACAACAAAATGGAGTTGCTGAGCGTAAGAATCATCATCATTTAGATGTCACTCGTACTTTATTGATTGAGTCCTCTGTTCCATCTAATATTGGGTTGAAGCTTTGTCTACTGTTGTCTATTTGATTAATAGACTTCCATCTAAAGTGTTAAATCTTGAGTCTCCATATTATCGTCTTTTTCATTAAGCATCCCAGCTATCATAGTTTTCATACGTTTAGTTGTGTTTGTTTTGTGCACCTGCCTCCTTTTCAACGAAATAAACTCTCTGTTCAGTCTATTAAATGTGCTTTTATGGGCTATAGTACTTCACAAAAAGGTTTTATTTGCTATGATCCAAGTTCTAACAAATTTCGTGTTTCTAGAAATATTATTTTCTTTAAGAATCAGTATTTCTTTCCTACTCATGTTGAGTCATCTTCTGTTTCTCCTCTTCTTCCTACTTTTGAGGATTTGTCATTGTCTTCTAAGCGGTTCAAACCAAGATTTGTGTATGAACGACATCAGCCAACTTTACCCCATCCCGAAACAAATCCGCCACCTGAGACTGCTCCACAACCAGAATCTGAGATTTCTTCAAGGTTTGCTCCTCTTGAGCCTCCTCGGCGATCTACTAAAGTGTCTCAAACTCTCAAACGGTATGGTTTTTCTTCTACTTTATCCACCATCTCTATTCCAACAAGTTACTCACAAGCTTCCAAGCTTGAATGTTGGCAAAAAGCAATGGAGGAGGAACTTTTGGCTCTTAAAGAAAATAACACATGGGACATTGTTCCTTGTCCTCCAAATATCCGTCCAATTGGATGTAAATGGGTTTATTCAATTAAACTTAATTCTGATGGAACTCTTGATCGGTACAAAGCTCGATTGGTGGTCCTTGGCAACAAACAGGAGTATGGTGTAAACTATGAGGAGACTTTTGCACCTGTAGCAAAAATGACTACGGTGCAAACTATTATTGTCATTGCTGCATCACAAAATTGGCCTCTTCATCAAATGGATGTCAAAAATGCTTTTCTTCATGGTGATCTCAAAGAAGATATTTATATGAAACCCCCACCTGGTTTGTTCTCATCACCTACATCAGATGTATGCAAGTTGAAGCGGTCTTTATATGGATTAAAACAAGCTCCAAGAGCTTGGTTTGACAAGTTTCGATCTACTTTGCTTCAATTCTCTTTGTCTTGAACCAACACAAATTTACTTAGGACTTGATTGCTTTGGCTGGTCTTCAAGAATCTCCCTCTGTAAATACTCCATTGGAATTGAATGTAAAGAATTGCAGTGCGGAAGGAGATCTTCTTCCTGATCCAACTTTGTATCGGCAATTAGTTGGGAGACTAAATTATCTTACTATTACTCGGCCTGATATCTCTTTTGCAGTTCAACAATTGAGTCAATTTATGCAGGCTCCACGCCATCTACATTTGGTGGCTGTCCGTCGCATGATTCGATATCTCTTGGGAACATCTACTCGTGGATTATTCTTTCCTAGTGGTTCTGAGATTCAGCTTAATGCATTTAGTGATTCTGATTGGGCTAGATGTCCTGATACTCGTCGCTCCGTCACGGGTTGGTGCATGTTTCTTGGAGATTCCTTGATATCTTGGAAGAGCAAGAAGCAAGATCGTGTATCAAAATCTTCCACCGAATCTGAATATCGAGCAATGTCTACTGCTTGCTCTGAGATTGTTTGGTTTCGTGGTTTACTTGCAGAAATTGAATTTCCTCAATCTAATCCCACTCCTCTCCATGCTGACAACACAAATGCTATTCAGATTGCTACTAATCCAGTTTATCATGAAAGGACCAAACACATTGAAGTGGATTGTCATTATATCAGAGAAGTTGTGGATAAGAGAGTCATTACTCTTCCACATGTATCCAGTGATCTTCAAATAGTTGATGTGTTTACAAAGTCTATGGCACGACAACGTCATCAGTTTCTGGTAGGCAAATTGATGCTTTTTGATCCACCGGCATCAATTTGAGGGGGGATGTTAGCGTGATTGGACAGATTCTAAATAGCTGTACATATCTATGTTATAACTCTAAATATTTGTGTAATGATGATAGGAGATAGCATAGATTAATGTAGCATATTTTCAGAGATATTACAATTAGGAATAACATATATTTAGGGATATATAGCAGATTTTTTAAGGCATGTAAATCAGAATTCTTTCTATTTAATGGAAGAACTCTCATTTGAGAGAACTCTCATTATTTCAACGCTTGTTGCTCAAGCTGAGGAAGATACTGGTTTTGATCATCAAATAGCTGGTGTCAAAATCCCCTGCAAAGAGGATGCTTTCTTTGATCTCACTTCTCGGTTGGGAAGGAATTAATAGGGGATTTACTCCCATTTTACTATCAACAATTTGCGCACAAGTAATGGAAAAACTTAGTACCGAGATGAAGGGAGAATCTTTGACCCCTGAGAATGAATGTAATTCCAGTTTATATTTTTCTATTGTCAAAGAGATGGCATCACATTCCGGAGACTAGTATCTATATACATGTTTATGACAAGTTTCATATCAAAATATTTAGTGGTGGTCAAGAGAAATAGGTGACCACTATAGTGAGAGATAATGCCATCTGAAGACTCATGATTTACATAAAGGACACTCTTGAAACAAAATTCACAAGAATAGATGAAGATGATAGCTTTGCCTGGACCACCTGATTTAAAGATAGAGTGACAGAGACCAAAACAGAATAGCCACATGATGACTTTAATGAAATGGTTTTTCTAGCACAAGTATGATAGTCAAGTGTCCCCTATCTACATGAAAATGAAGGGAGAAGAACATGGTTTTGCTTCTCACCGGCAATTGTTCATTTAATGCTTTCAAATTATTGGCATTGGTGAGAAGTACCATTTATGAACTGATATTATAGCTAATAGGCCTAGCTTCATCCACAAATTTTAGGCCCAATGCCAACTTGGCCAACAAACATCGGCACATGGTTTTGCCTTCAGTGGTTAGTGACAAGAACTTCAGCTCCATTTTGTATAAATAATCCCTCTTTCATGAGCTTTTTCATCATCAAGGACAAGCATTATCAGTTCAACCATCTAAAGTCTCTAAATTTCTTTTCTACTTTCTCATTTTCAATCTTCCAAAAAACAAATGGCAATGCTCAGCGCTAAGAAACTCATCAAGATGGCCAGGAAATGGCAGAAGTTTGCTGCTATGCAGAGGAAGAGGATTACATTTCCAAGAAATGATAGTGATGCAGACAGTTGCAGTACATCTTCATCCTCTATAGTTGAGAAAGGCCATTTTGTAGTTTATACAACTGATCAATCCCGCTTCGTCGTTCCATTGGCTTACCTTGAAAATGAGGTCATTAGGCAACTTTTACGCATGTCCGAAGAAGAGTTTGGGTTGTCAAGTGGTGGCCCTATTACATTACCCTGTGATTCAGCCTTCATGGAGTACATCGTATCACTAATCAAGAAAGGCATAACTGCTGGAGATCTTCACAAAGCGTTGCTCCTATCAATTCCTTCTTTTTGCTGTTCGACTTCTTCTTTGCACCAAGAAAGTGGAAACCAACAGCTTCTTGTTTGTTGAGTCAAGGCCAACATTCTTTTTTGTAAATCTAGCTCAAAATAGTTTTTAGAGGCGGACACTAAATAGTATACAATTGTAAAGCACATCAACAAATTGAATACTATTTTACTAGAAAATTTACCATATTCATGGCTTTCAATTTTAAATTTGGTTATGAGAAGTCCTAACTATCTATTGATCGAAGAATGACTAGAAGATATGAAAAAATTTGTGAAACCCAAACTGTTTAGTCATCAACTCTATGCATTATGTTCTAATCAGATCCATTAATTCCAACTATAATAAGTTTGTCTTTTAATTCAATTTGGGAGTTTTCTAAAGCTAGTAAATTCTTTAAATCTCACATTTTTTCCCAACACATACATACAAATCTTTAACTGATAAAAAGACAGGTCACCAGCAGCGGACATAATGCTAACTATAGATTCTTTTGCATCAATTATTCTATGTTCTCAGTTAAGTCCACATTGTCTCCAAGAGGTTGTAATACTTTGAGCACTCTATGCGATATTTGGTTTAACTCATTCTTTCTTACCATCTTCCAACATCATATATATAATTGCACCTATGGATTTCCGTGCTCTCGAAGGTCCATTAGGATATGGCTTGATAGATTCGACGACCTGCTCTCATATTATCCTTATATTTGCACTATATGCACCTACTTCAGGGTTCAACCTCTAACAATAACTTCAAAATTAATGTCATAAATGCTACAATAAGCAAGTAGCCATATGCACATTTGTTTCTTCCAAAATAGATTTCAGGAATAAGTAACAAAAGTAGCTTATATTAAGATTATATCATCACAACAAAATCATTAACTTTTGTAATTTCGTGTTACTTAATATCTTCTATTTATTTGATTTCCTTGTTCGTCAATCTTCCGAGTCTGTACATGTCCCTCCAAATTTCCAACACTCCTTATCTTATTCATTTGTCTACTTCTTTAGTGGAAATCCAAGTTTCACGACTGTGTAGAGATCCCGTATCAACATGACAAAGCAGACAACACCACTAAGATATCAATTCTTCTTCATTCAAAAGTCTCAGACTATTATTATATGTGAGAAGTCCTCCATGTTATTTGGTGTCATAATTAATAGGTCCATTCAGTCGTCAACCAAATGAAGAAAGAATGGAAGTCATCATCTTACATCTTTTTGGACAAGATTCATCCACAAATTTAAGGCCTTGTATCAACATATCCAGCAGGCATCAGGTTTTGCTGAAGTATCTGCATTAAGGTGGCGGAGGTGAGAGACAACGACATTTGAAGACCTGAAGAAAGAATGAAAGTTTGCAAGTCTGGAGACTAGTATGTGTGTGTATATATATACAAGTTTATGACAAGTTTCTTATCCAAATAATTAGTGGCGGTCAAGAGAAATAGGCCGGTGACCACTGGTGAGAGACAATGGAGGATAAAATTTCATTTGGTTTTTCTCTTTGTTATAGAATGTATATAGACTTAAATCTAGTAATATACATAGCTATATTTAGGTAGCAGATTCATAGGAATCACTGCAGATTCATAGGAATCAATCTTAATTTCTTTCCTTAGTTAGCACCTAATGTATTGTATTTATTCACTGCTAAACTACTGCAATAAGACAAGAGATTTTCCATTGAATTACATGGTATCAGAGCCTATTGGCTCGTGTCGTTTTGGCTGTGTTACGGAAGAGTTTGGATTTCTAATCCACTGATTTAGAGTGGTCAGTTTGCGTCACTGCCACCACAGAAGGAGGTGGAGTATATTTTCCAGCAAAACCAGTCTTCTCTATCATCTGGGTGTGAAGCCAGTGGCAGTCACACACTGCTCATACAGTTCGCCTATTCATCACACACCAACACGTGAAGGTGCATGTTCTGGTGTTAAAACACGATTTGAAAAGTCTGTTCTTCACTTCCAGGTTTGTTTCTGTTCTGCGACATTGAATCTGGTCTGTGATTTGTGGTTCCGTGGCTGCTAGCTCCTACTTCAGTTCAGATAATTGGTGTTGTGTGGATAAACTGCTGGTTCAAAATTTCTTTTTCTGAACTACTTATTTGGGTATTTTATTGTTCACTGCTTGCTGAATCTACTGGTCAAGTAGTCAATTTCTTTATTCTGCGTCGACAATTGGTTTCTTGGTTGATAAAATCATTTGACTCTGTTCATCTGTGTTTGTGGGGTCACAAACTGACGTACATGCTTCTAGTTATACTTGTTGTTGATAAGTTCATATGCTACTAAAATATTTGGAGAAAATGACTGAAATTGTGACTCCTACATCATCGGATACAGGAATTTTGGTTTCAGCAGAAGAGTTTGCAAAATTCTCGCAATATCAAAACTTACAAAAGAAATCTGTTCCGTTACTACCCTTGTTGAGTCAGGAAAATCATGTCTTATATCCTCTTCGAATAAATGGGTGATCGATTCAGGTGCCACAGATCACATGACAGGTAATCCTAATATATACTCTAGCTTTCGATCACATGGAGCACTCTGTCCTGTGACGGTTGCTGATGGTTCGCTCTGTAAGATTATAGGATCTGGGATTGTAAAACCAACATCCTCTATTACCTTGTCATCTGTATTAGGTCTACCAAAGTTAGCCTTTAATTTGATGTCTGTTGGTAAGCTCCTAAACTGTTATATCTCATTCTTTCCCGATCATTGTTTGTTTCGTGATCTGAAGACAAATAAAGTTATTGGAAAAGGACATGTATCTGATAATCTCTACATTCTTGATGAATATTGGGAGCCTCGATTTGCTGCCTGCTCTAGTCGTGTCTCCATTTGAGGCACATTGTCGATTAGGACATCCTTCTTTGCCTATGTTGAAGAAGCTTTGTCCTCAGTTTCAGAATATTCCTTCAGTGGATTGTGAGTCATGTCTATTTGCCAAACACCATCGTAGCTCAACAAATCCAAGGGTTAATAAACGGGTGGAGTCGATGTTTGAGTTAGTTCATTCTGATGTTTGGGGACCATGTCATGTTGTTTCTAAAACTGGATATAAGTATTTTGTCACATTTGTGGATGATTTCTCTCGAATGACTTGGATTTATTTTATGAAGAGTCGTTCTGAAGTGTTTACTCACTTTTGTGCCTTTTGTGCGGAGGTCAAAACTCAATTCAATACTTCGTTGCGTATTCTGAGGAGTGATAATGCTAAAGAATATATGTCAGAAGTGTTCCAATCCTACATGAGACAACATGGTATTCTCCATCAAACTTCATGTGTTGCTACACCCTCTCAAAATGGAGTTGCCGAGAGAAAGAATAGACATCTGCTTGAGACAGCTCGAGCACTTTTGTTCAAAATAAAAGTCCCTAAACAATTTTGGGTTGATGCAGTCTCCACAGCTTGTTTCTTGATTAATCGCATGCCATCGACTGTTCTTGTTGGTAATGTGCCTTATAGTGTTCTTTTTCCAAACAAGCCATTATTTCCAGTGGAGCCTAAGGTGTTTGGAAGCACATGTTATGTTCGAGATGTTCGGCCATCTGTTACCAAGTTGGACCCTAAAGCATTGAAGTGTGTTTTCCGAGCTTGGTAAATATTTGGTGTCAAATGATGTGGTATTTTCAGAGATGACACCATTCTTCTATGCACCTCCCAGTTAGACAACTCAGGGGGAGGAAGATGAGTGGTTAGTCGTGTTGTGACAAAACAATTAGATGATGTCATTCATTCTCTTAGTTCCCCTATTGAACACAATTTGACTACTGGGCCCACATTTTCTACTCTAGTAAGACCACCAATTGTTCAAGTTTATTCGAGAAGATGAGAGATCGATGATACATTTTCTGCACCAGCTCCTTTGTTATCAAATCTTTCTTCACCCGATCCTTCAGATGATCTTGATCTCCCTATTGCTCTTCGCAAAGGTAAAAAGACTTGTCAATCGACGTATTCCATTGCTAATTTTGTTTCTTATGACCGCTTATCCTCTACGTCAAGGTCCTTAGTTGCTTCTTTAGACTCTATCTTTGTACCCAAAACAATGAAGGAAGCTTTGACTCATCCTGGATGGTATGATGCGATGCTTGAGGAAATACATGCCTTAGAGGAAAATCACACGTGGGATTTGGTGGATTTACCTAGTGGGAAGAAACCAGTGGGATGTAAGTGGGTGTTCACAGTTAAAGTAAATCCAGATGGTTCTGTGGCAAGACTTAAGGCCAGGCTTGTGGCTAAAGGGTATGCTCAGACCTATGGGGTGGATTATTCAGACACTTTCTCTCCAGTTGCCAAACTTACTTCCGTCCGCTTGTTCATATCTCTAGCTGCTTCTGAGAATTGGCCTTTACATCAGTTGGATATCAAAAATGCATTCCTTCATGGTGATCTTCAAGAGGAAGTATATATAAAGCAACCACCTGGTTTTGTTGCTCAGGGGGAGTATGGGAGAGTGTGTTATTTGAAAAAGTCTTTGTATGGCTTGAAACAGAGTCCGCGAGCTTGGTTTGGGAAGTTCAGCGAGGTAGTCCTGGAGTTTGGGATGAAGATGAGCAAATGTGATCACTCAGTCTTTTACCGACAATCAACAGTTGGCACTATCTTACTGGTTGTGTATGTCGATGACATTGTCATCACAGGAAGTGATTATGCGGGGATCTCTTCCCTCAAATCTTTCCTGCATACTAGGTTTCATACGAAAGACTTGGGTCAGTTGAAATACTTTTTGGGTATAGAGGTGAATAGAAACAAGAAGGGAATTTTGTTGTCTCAGAGAAAGTATATTCTTGATCTTCTTGCAGACACTGGAAAGTTAGCAGCTAAACCTTGCAGTACTCCAATGGTTCCAATGTGTAGCTTATGAAAGATGACGGCGACCTCTTTGATGATCCCGAGAGATATAGGAGGTTAGTTGGGAAGTTAAACTACCTCAGTGTGACTCGTCCAGACATTGCTTTTGTAGTAAGTGTTGTCAGCCAGTTTATGTCCTCGCCTACAGTCAAACATTGGGCAGCTTTGGAGCAGATTTTATGTTACTTGAAAGGAGCCCCTGGACTTGGGATATTGTATAGCAATCATGGTCATACTCGTGTTGAGTGTTTTGCAGATGCTAACTATGCCGGATCCAAAATTGACAGGAGATCGACTACAGGCTATTGTGTCTTTGTTGGAGGGAACCTAGTTTCATGGAGAAGTAAGAAGCAAA